ATTGTTGGCATCAGCAACACCTGCTCTGACCAGTGAATTAATTGTAAAGTGACCTACATAAGTAAAAGATTGTTTTTGTGAAAGTGGCTTTGGCACTTGAGGCTGGCATGTTTCTAATGGAACCAATCAATATTCCAAAGGAAAAGAATCAAGATGATATAGAATTTATCTAAGATACATCACAGAAACACCAGACTCCCAAAAGGAGTTCTCTGAACCATAGTTTGGTGCTCTAGAACTTAGGGTCTAGAGCAAGGATCAGCAAAATGATCTGAAAAGGACTAGATAGTAAATATTTGAAGCTTTACAAGCCATCTGGCTTTAGTTCCACCAGGGTAGAATGGCAAGCAGTGAGTATACAGCTCATCCACTGATTTATGTATCATCTAGGACTGCTTTGGTACTAGAAAGTCTGCAAAACCTAATGATTTATTATCTGGGTCTTTACAGAAAAAAAAAATGTGCTGATCCCAATGCCTGCAAACTCAGTACTATTGGCATTTCAAGACGATTCTGCCTAACCCTACCTTTGGGGAAAGAGAGGTCAAAATTGTCTCATTTTGAGAACTCTTGATTCACAGAATTCAGGAAATGCTGAGATTGACTGCAGGAAGTTTCCTCCTCCTCCTCCTCCTGCTGGTCCTCTTCTTCACTTAAACCTCATCTCTGATGTCAGTGTTGAAATAGGTCAAAAAGACACACGAGCATTTGAATGCAATTATCCCAGACCACAAAATCAGTTAACATTTTGATATGTGACATATACTAGATCTAGAAATCTGTAGCTAGCTTATCAAATTTAGTAGTTCTTATAGCCTCCCTCTATGTAGATTTAACCCATTTATAGCAGATCTGAAATCTTTCCCTGCATTTCTCTCATGTGTTTCCTTTTAATCTGTCTCTTCACCACCCTTTAAATTTGCCAGCTGGCTAGGCCTGAGCCTCCTGTGAGGCAATGTTTATAGCTCACTTGGATGAATGCAGCAACTAGGATAGCCCAAGGGCAGATGAAATAGTATCCAGAACAAGAATGCTCCTTTGCTGTACCTCCTTTTACATGAGGAATAATTCTCCCTCCCCTGTATATCAGATGAGAAGTAGTATTGATTGGTTTGGTACACTGTATAAAATATGCATCTAATGGAATGGTATTTTGGGAACTATTAGCAGCATTGGTTCTGCCGAGCCCCAAGATTTTGCCTTCCTCCCCATTTCTCCTCCCCTTCCTTCTCCTCCTCCTTTCTAGTAGCAGCTTCTTAGGAAATTACAGGCTTTGCCTCTGGGTTGTTGGATAGCAGTGGCAGTGCAAGCCTTTTCTAGTTTCCAAGGGAGACCGGGTGATGAGACTGCAATCTTTCCCAGCAGCCACTTACCTTCCTTGCTCTTCGTCTCCACTCATCTCTTGACCTTCATTCTGCCATGCAGGCCTACACAAGGAGGTAACAGTCTGTTTTCTTTGAGCTCTCTGTGTCAAAAGGGGCAAGAGGGAAAGAGGGGTGGTATGGGATAAGGCCTGTGGAGACAGCAGAGTGCAAACCTTGCAATTAGCAAAAAAGTAACTCTGAGTGTGCTGCATCAGTGAGCCTGTTCCTATTTGTTGTATCTATAAATATCTTAAAGGTGGGAGCCCCAAAACAACCTCATAAAACTTAAAGTTACCACATAAAAAATGTAAGGTTACAGTAATATTGCCTCTGGGAAACAGAAGAAAATTGAAAACTTTGACAAGAAAATGAAATCAGTTGCTTTTAAACTTAGCTGGTGAATAAACTGTGTTCCTGACAAATTTTGTTAAGTTTATGTTGTATGCGTTGGATCTGATTTTCAGGTTTAAGAAAGGGGCTGACAATAAATGTCTTTTAATTGGATTTTTCAGGRCTTCAAGATTTTTTTTTTTTTACAGTGTGGTATTCAATTTAAGTTTAACTGAAATGAAATGAAAAATCAGTTTCTTTGTTGCACTAGCCACATTTTAAGTGCTCAGAAACCACAGATGACTAGTGGCTACCATATTGGGCTGTTCAGATATATAAATTTCCATTGTCACACAAAGTTCTGTTGAAAGTACAAAAGGAAATGGCATATGGAATATAGGAAATTTAGTATAGTAGGCCCTCTGTATCAATGGGTTCTGAATTGGTGGATTCAACCAACTGCAAATCAAAAAATAATCAGGGAAAAAAACTGCATGTCTTCTGAACATGCATAATTTTTTTCAGGTCAAAATTCTCTAAACAATACAATATAACTACTATTATCATAGCATTTACGTTGTATTAGGTATTGCAGATAATCTACACATGATTTAAAGTATATGGAAGGATGTTTGTAGATTATATGTAAGTGCTGCACCATTTTATAGATAGGACTTGAGCATTTGTGGATTTGGCATGGGGGAGAGTGTCCAACTGAACCAACCACCCCTCCTTACTCAGGGAAAATATTTATTTGGCCAGACCAATTAGTAAGCATTTTAACTGGAAGTTTTCAAGGACATTTGCCCAGAATCAGCATAAATATGGATTCACTGTGGCTTAAAGCTGAATGGGACCTTAAAAACTATAGACCAACCCCTTTATTTTATAAATGAAGAAACCAAAATCCCAAGAGATTAAGTCTTTTAAGGCAAACTAGTAATTGAAGTAGAATCCAGTTATCTGTTCTTTCTATTGTTCCATAGTATGAGCTTCCCATTCCCAATTAGAGACAGTAAGTAAAACTTGAACTAAAACCTGACTGGTTTTAGTTCAACTAAATCAACTGCATCCTTCAAAGGAGAAGTTAGTCACAGTCTTCTTTGATATGTATCATTTGTTTATGATGGACTTGTAGCATATAGATGGCAACCTCTGGAAATGTAAAAACCAGCTTTTCCAAAATACACCAGCCCCCCTGCAAAGACTGAAGCCTGACTTCCAGTCAGCTTAGTCTCAAAGTGGATTAAGGAAATTTGCCTCATCCCAGTGGTTCTCAGAGTGTAAATGAGCATCATCAGCAGAGAAATAATTAGGAATGCAAATTCTTAGATTCCCATCCTAAGCCCTACCAAAGTAGAACTTCTGGGGTTGTGGAATCTAGCTCTCCAAGTGATTCTGTGGCAAGTCAAAGTTTGAGAACTTTTACCTAATTGCTCTGAAGGATAACATCTTCTAGTGCTGTGAGTTAAAACTACATTTTTTCATTAATTGTATCTGGAATTAATTCAAAAGTTACCAGCTATACCAGGAAATAAAACTGATTCACCAAAAGATCAAAAGAAAAAATAGATAATAGGACCAGATCAGATAGTGATATTATCAGACATGGACTTTAAAATAATTATGATTAATATATTCAAAAAATATAAGATGGAGGATTTCACCAGAGGATTGCAATCTATTAAAAGAATCAAGTAGAAATTCTAAACTGAAAAATAACTGAAATTAGGAAATTCAGTTGGTTAGTTTGCATCAAACCTGCCAAAGAGAGGATTAGATGAGACAGTAGCAGATATCCAGAATGAAATTTACAGAAATAAAAAGATATACAGAAAAAGATAATAAATACATGAAATGTGGCCAGTCAGGCCTAACATAAGATTATAGTCTCAGAAGAAGAGAACGAACTTTTTTCATGGAACACCATTTTATGATGACTAATGATGGCACTATGGTTATGGAGACATTTTCTTGAAAATGAACCAAGTGAGCCTGTTAAGCATTTGTTGCTAATCATAAAATTTAAACTTTTAAGCAAAAATTAGAATTTTAGAAAACTTGTATATGTCACTGTAATACTGACATCTTCCTATTATGTAGATTATTCTAAGGTTAAAGGTGATATTAAGGAATGTCTTTTTTTAATTGTATAAATAAATGTGTCAGTATTAGGAAGATATGCATAACTAGGTACACCGATATTTTGCAAATGACTAATGGAGATATAATGTTACAAAATCATGTATGGATAAGAAGATCCAAAGTGCAAGGTAGACCAATGCATCTTTTTTTAAAATATTTTTTTTAATTGTAGATAGACACAATACCTTTATTTTGTATATTTAGCTTTTTTTACATGGTGCTGGTGATTGAACCCAGTGCCTCAGGAGTACTAGGGGAGTGCTCTACCACAGCTCCAGCCCAAACCAATGCATCTTAATGTAACAGAATATGAAGAGTCTCTTAATACATTTCAGATTCCACATTGGTATAGTATCAAACAATATCCACAGTTATCTGAAAAAATAATCACAATACTCCTCATTTTTGCAACTGTATATCTGTGAAAGGCTAGTTAGTCTTAATATATCTCAACTAAAATATATTGACTGCAAAAGCAGTTATGAGAGTCTGGCTGTCTTCTATGAAGTCAATAAAGGAAAATTATAAAAATGTAAAACAAAGGCTGAGGCAAGTGGATCACAAGTTCACGGCCAGCTTGGGCAACTTAGTGAGACTCTGTCTCAAAAGAAAATACAAAGGACTGTGGTTGTAACTCAGTGGTAGAATGCTTGTCTAGCACATATGAGCTGAATTTAGTCCCCAGCACCAAAAAAAAAAAAAAARAAAAGAAAAAGAAACAAATAAACAACATGTAAATATATAGGAGAGAAAAGCACTCAATAAAGTTTAGTCCACCTAGTGATAAAAAAAAATTATTAGCCTGCTTCCTATAGAAATAGAAAGGAATTACTCTGATTCAGTAAGTAGTATCTAAAGAAATCTTACAACAAACATCACATTCATTGGCAAAATACTGAAGATATTCTCTCTGAAGGCTTATAGGAAAGGATTAAGGAAAGAAGAAATAGAATCTTTTTTTTACTGGTGGTACAATTTTGCTTGAACAATAACACATTCACAAATTATGTCTTTAATTCAGTGATTTTTACTGATGGCAAATAGCATTTCTGCCATTTGGACTTTGCCTTAATTCATCCTTAGCGCATAGAAATCCCTTCAGTGTGTAGAAGTACCTTGTCATTCCTCAAGTCATGCAGCAAAGATCCTACTTCTCTTTAGGTCCTATCTGACTCCGGTACGGGATGAGGAAGCAGAGTCTTTACGGAAAGCACGTTCCAGACAAGCTCGGCAAACACGAAGATCTACTCAAGTGAGTGTGATTTTTTTTTTTTTTAAACATCCTTTCATCTATCTATTTTTCCATTGCAGGTACATTTTAAAACTACTAAAGTGAATGCTTTATCCCAGCCACTGTATTAAAAACTCTGTTAAATCTTACACTACAGAGAATCAATTGAATTTATAGTTCCATCTACCCACTCTCCATTGTACCTCTCACTCATACCTCTGTTCCTCCAGGCTCAGAGCAAGACTCATCATTCCACTAGTGCTTGGGGGTCTTAAGAACCCTGTGCCCTGTAGAAGGGAGGGTTGAGGGCTGTTGGACATAAACAAAGCATGGAGTAGATATATGTGTGTATGGAAATGTCACAGTGAAACCATAAATATGTATTAATAATTATATTAAAAAAGAATGGGGCTGGAGATGTGGCTCAGCGGTGGCGCGCTCGCCTGGCATGCGTGCGGCCCGGGTTCGATCCTAGCACCACATACCAACAAAGATGTTGTGTCCGCCGAGAACTAAAAAATAAATATTAAAAATTCTCTTTCTCTCTCTCTCTCTCTCCCCTCTCTCACTCTAAAAAAAAAAAAAAAAAAAAAAAAAAGAATCACATTAGGAATCCTTAGGGGAAAATAGTTAGCACTTCCTCAAAATGTTAAATATAGAGTTTATTCAACCCAGCAGTTTTACTCTTAACGTACATATGTAAAAGAAATAAAAATGTCCATATAAAAACTTATATGTAAGTGTTTATAACAGCATTATTCATAATAGGCAAAAGGTAGAAACAAACCAAATGTCCATTGGCTAATGAATGAACAAACAAAATGTTCTATGTTCATACAATGGAATATTATTTGGTATTAAAAAGTAATGCAATACTGTTGTTACATGCTACAACATAAATAAACTTTGAGAAAACATTATGCTAATTAAGCTCAAGAGGCCAGACTCAAAAAGTGCCATATGTTGTATAATTCCATTTATATGATGTATCCAAAATGGGCAAATCCAGAGAGACAGAAAGTGGATGAATGCTAGGGGCTAGAGGGAAGAGGAATGGAAAATGACTGTTAATAGGTGTCGGGTTTCTTTTTGGAATGTTGAAAAGTGTTCTGAAATTAGATAGTGGTGATAGTTGCACAACTCAATGAATAAACTAAAAACCATGGGATTATTTAAAGGGTGAATTTTACAATATGTGAATTATATTTCAGWAAAGACATTACAAAGAAGGGTGGGGAAATCCCTTAAGGGAGCCATTGAAACAGTTTAAGGATGAGTGATAGAGTCTACTTTATGTTTCACAAAAATCCCCATGCAGAGAATTAATGGAAGTGGTAGGCAGTGTTTGTTTGCCAAGCCTGGAAACTAGAAGATTTGCTAGGAAGCTGTTAATAGTAGTCCAAGCTGAAAATGACAAGGCCATGAACTCAGGTTGTGATGGCAGTGAGAATGGAGGAAGAAGCTATGAATCAGAGTTAGTTAAGGAGGAAAGAAAGATTAGCCCATGAAGCAGATGAAAGGGAGCATCCAGAGAAGTAAAAAGGAAAGTAGAAAATAGTGATGGCATGGAAATGAATGAAAAATCAGTTTGCACAAAAAAAGAGAAGTTGAACATTTTTAAATGCTGCAGAAGTCAAGTACTAAAGTTGATGACTGAAAAAGGGACATTATTCATAGCTGCAAAAAAAATCCTTCTGTCTTCTCTGACCCTCAGAAAGTGAGTCAGGTTTTCCTTTTTTATTTTTGCTTGATGATTATTTCTCTGTTTTGCCTATTAGAATGTATCCTCCTTGAGAACCAAGGTGGACTATATTTTTTTTTGGTTTTGTTTTACTGCGATAATTATACATAACATAAAATTTACCACTTTTTCCATTTTTAAGCGTACAGTTCATTGATATGAAGTGCATTCATGTTGTTTTATAGCTATTACCATTATCCATTTCTAGAACTTTGCTCGGCTTTTCAGACTGATACTCTATATCCATTAAACAGTATTTCCCTTCCCCCTGGCAGGCAGCATTCTTCTTTCTGTCCAATTTAGGAACCTTACATAAGTGGAATCATGCAACTATTTGTCTTTTTGTGTCTGGCTTATTTCATTTAGCACAGTGTCATCAAGGTTTATCTATATTGTAGCATATGTCAAAATTGTCTTCCTTCTTAAGGTTAAATAATATTCCATTGCATGTATATGCCATATTTTATGTATCCATGCATCGGATGATGGATACTTGGCTGTTGTGAATAATACTGCTGAGAATGGCTGTACAAAATTTTACTTTGAGACCCTACTGTCAGTTCTTTTATGTGTATATCCTTAGAAATGGAACTTACCAAATCACATGCTCATTCTACTTTTAATTTTAATTTGTGGGGGGGGGGCACACGCTAGGGATTAAACCCCAGGGTACTCTACTACTGAGCTACATTGCCAGCCCTTACTCTTTTGCATTTTAAGACAGAATCTCACTAAGTTGGTGAGACTGGCCTCAACTTTAGGATCCTGCTCAGCCCCCAGAGTCCCTGGAATTATAGACATGCACCACCCATGCCCAGTCTATTTTTCATTTTTTGAGGAATTGCCATGCTATTTTTCATTTTGCATTCTTATTTCAGGTTACAAGCTTCCAAAATTTACTTCAGAAAGTAAATTTTGAAGGTCTTTTGCTTAATTAACTACAGACCCTGAGTGATCTATGGCTTCTCTTTGTTTCAGTATTTCTACATAGCCTCCCCTCTACCCATGGTCTTTTTTAACCCCCCACCTTTCAAAATTAGTGTTAGGTGTGCTTGTTATGTATTACTGTGTTTCTTTCTTTCTTTGTGTGTGTGTGTGTGTGTGTGTGTGTGTGTGTTTCTTAATATTTATTTTCTTATATCATTTTTGTTTGATTAAAAGTTTCTTGACAGAAATAATTGGTGTTGTCTTCATAGTTCTAGGGCTTAAAGACAATTATTAAGAGAATGAGTGAATAAGTGAATGAATGGTTAAAAAAATAAAAGCAAGTTATGCATTTGGTGTCCATCAACTACCTTCCAGCTCTGGTACATCCCTTTTTCTCTGATTACTTGAGCATGTAACCCCTTCAGTTAGACTCATCACATTCTCTTCCTAACTCCTTTGTCCCGGCTGCAAGTGACTCATCATTTGCTTTTCTTCTGCCTTGCTGCTTTTGTGACCCAGGGGCAAACATTAATTGTCGGAAGAACCTCGCTGGATGATTCCTAGAGTTACTTGGAAATAATATTAAAGAAATAGCTTACTTTTTCTTTTGGGAGTTCTTTTTGTTGTTGTTCTAGCTTTACTCTGAATTTTCATCTTTTTGGATATGGCTTTTCTTTCTACGAGTAAAATTAAGTTTTTCCAGCATCTGCTGTTCAGAAAATCTCTTTTGTTAACAGTTTGATCTTGGGAGAATAGAGAGTATTCACATAAAAATGCCAAGAACTATTTGGTATGGAAGAAATATATCTATAACAGGCAGACATCAGTGTTGACCTATTTTCTGGGGATCAAATTGGGAAAGCTAAAGTATTACGTTTGAAATGTACCTAGATTCAGGCCTGGGTTCTTTGCACACAGAGATGCTTATTTTAAGCATATATTGCTTGAAATGGCCTCATTATGCATTTTGGGATCTTCGTCTGGGATTTGAAAACCGTTAGATCTTTTTGAGAGTTTCCCTGCTTACTCAAGAGTTATTCCATGTTAGGGTGAAACTGCCGTGATCTTGTGCTATTTTCCCAGGGTGTTACCCTAACAGACCTTCAAGAAGCAGAAAGGACTTTCAGCCGGTCCAGGGCAGAGAGACAGGCTAGTGAGAAACCTGCAGACACTGAAGGACTGGAGGGGAGCACTGAGAAGCAAGAGCCCTCAGCTGTCCCAGCAAAGGAAGCTGGGGAAGACCAGCAACCCTGGGACAGGAGTCTGGATGAAGAGGTGAGCTCATTTTGCTGGCAAGTACTGTGACAAAAGCAGGATAATTGGTTTCTGGGAATCTGTTCTTTACTGATCATTCAAATGCTCTTCTACCTTGCAGTGGACCACTCAGGAATAGAGCACTTGATGACTGTCTTTAGTTGGCAAACCTATGTGACTGAAAGAATTCAAAGGATGTCATTCCTTAAATGACCATTTTTTTCCTCCTGGGAGTTAACTAATGCTTTTAAATAAATACCCACCTATTCCAAAAAGAGAGGCCACAGTATAATAAAATGCAAGTAAGAATATAAACATTTATTAAGTATTTTTGCCAGGCACTACTTTAAGCATTTCATGTGTTTTTAATCCTCAAAACAATCCTCTGAGGTAGATATTGCTATTCCTATTTTATCTATGAGGAAATCGAGTCACAGAGATTGGGTAACTTAGCTAACATTTCATGCGGCTGAGGAGTGGATAAACAAGATTTGAACACAGGCAGTCTGACTCCACGGCTTGGTCTCTTAACCACTAATGTGTTCCTCAAACTGCTACAAATGTAAGGGCTTACAGAACACTCCTGGGTGTACATTTTTATTTATGTTGGGTGGACATTTTGATTTATGTTTCATTTCTCTGGTGGAGTTGGTAGTCACAGGTACAAGCGTATACTTAGGGATAAGCATACTCCTGGTTTACCTAAGATGGTTCTAGTTATAACTGTTGTCTCTGTGTAATTATTATTACCACTTCTTTCACTCTTAAAATTGTAATTGATAAATTTTATGGTCAGTTTAGTTGTAGGAGAAAGGAATCATCTCTTTCATGGTCTAACTCTGAACGGCTGGAGTCCATATAAACTGGTGTTCTGTTGTGTATTTTGTTTTATAAGCTATTATATTTATTAAATACTTATTACCATATATTATTCTAAGCACCTAACACTTACTGTCTTATTGAATGTCACCATCCTGTCTGAGGTGTTATCCCTGTATTACAGATAAGGAAGCTAACGCTCAGAGAGGTTAAATAACTTATTCAGGGCCAAACAGCTAATAAATACTATAGTTAGACTTTGAGCCAAATTGTATCTGACTCCAAAGCTTACTTTATTTTATTACTTYTGTCTTTATAATGGTTTTGTTGTTGTTCTCTATTTTCTTTTTTTGACCTAAGGATGGAACCCAGGGCCTTGTTGTACATGCTTGGCAAGAAATGTACCACTGAGCTATGTCCTCAGCCTCTTGTTTTCAGACAGTATGTTATTAAGTTGCTCAGTCTGCCCTTGACCTTGGGATCTTCCTGCTTCAGCCTCCTGAGTAGCTAGGATTACAGGTGTTTTTAATTATAATTTTATAACTAAATTATCAAACACCAGGCTTGTTTTATAATTTCTAAATTAAAAATTGTACAAAATCTGTATATTGTGAACTCAGTATGCTGTAAGAATTTGTGCATCTTTGATAAGCCAACTTAAGACTCATTGTCAAGTTCTGTCTTAACTCTTAGTAAAAAGTATTTCAAAGGGGAAAATGGGAATTTATGAAAAGCTTAGGGGACTGGACTCAGTGGTAGAGTACTTGCCTATCTAGCATGTCTGAGGCCTGACTTCTATCCCCAGAACCATTAAAAAAAAATAATAAGTTTCAATAAACATCATTATGGCAAATTAATGAGTATTCAGAAATTAGTAGAATGCTCAGATTTATTCTCTGTTTTCAGATGCTTCCTACATTCTGCTCCTTTGTCTTGAGCTTTTTTATTTTCCTTTTTAAACTTTGCCTTTCAACACTCTTTGAGAAAGCTCATCATGCTTCCTATTTCACTCCAAGATCAAAAGAATTTTCATTAACACAGCACTGTCTAGTACCCTTTAGTCATTTTAAGAACAGTTTGCTTATACTGCTAGCAACATGATGGTCTTTTCAAAGTAGCATCCAGAAGCTGTGGTTTTCTGATTAATTAACTAACTTCAGTTCAGCTCAGTGATTGTTGATTGAGCATCAGCTATTAAAATAAGACTCTTAATGAAAAAGCTCATCTTGAACAAACCTGCTATCTTTATCCTTTGGCTGGACTTGACCTCTCATGGCTCATTCTGTGAATTATTTCTAGCCTGTCTATCGTCGTCTGAGGTGTCCAGCTCAGCCAGACAAACCCACAAAACCAGTGTCTCCTTCTGTATCAAGACCTTCACTCTACACCAGTTCTCATCTGCTACAAACAAGTAGATGTTCCATCCCTGATTCTGAGAGTTCAGAGATCACTATGAATACTACAGCTGCAAAGGAAATGGACAAAAATGGTATGTAGAGTTTTAAAAGGTGGAAGCCACTCTCTCGTGCACATTGCTACAGATTCTTAAGAGTCATGCTTTACTTTATCTCTGGCTAGAAAGTGAAGAAGTGGATTTGGATGATCAGTCCTCTAACAGGCTCTCCATTCGAGAGAGGAGGCGGCCCAAGGAACGACGAAGAGGCACGGGCATCAACTTCTGGACAAAAGATGTAGGTAGATTAGTCCATACTGGGTCATAGCACATTATGCTTGGCTGCCAGTCTTTCTGTTGAGTTCAAAAGAAAGAGTCCCATGTGGTACTATGAATCTTGCAGATTGACAAGAACTATTACTGAAAAAAAGCAAAACAAAATTTAGCTAGTGTGGGGCTCATTTAGAATGTTCCTGCTGGATTCCCAGTACCAAGAATAGTACTAATCATATGGTGGCACTCAGTATTGATTGATGAAGAATTTTAAGAACTTGAAATTTACAATATAATTTAACCAATATAAACAGATCTAACAAGTAAATAAATTTGCCAGATTTTAGCTCTCTTCCTGAATATTCCTTGAAATTCATATAGTCAACAATATCAATACCACAAAAAAGCAGAGATTTTTAACTAAATGTTTTAGGAGAGCTATAAGAAATTTAAAGAACTTAAAATCTGTAAGTTAACGGAAGTTCATTTGATTCAATTTTATTCTTCTGGAGGAAAAAAGGATAAATAGAAAACAGATTAACACTGACTTTTAAATAAAGAGAGATGTACCAGTGCTTACCAGCAGAGACATGCGTCCCCCTCCATGTCAGGTTTACCTTTTTCACTCAACCTTGCTATTGGAATCTAAAAAACCAAGCAGCCAATAATTCGAAACAAAAGCCCCTGGTTACTAATGACTCATTTGAAAATTAGATAAAACTATTCAATGGGACAATAAATGAAACAACAATATGTATCTATTAGAAACTACCTTTTAGATAAGAATATTTCCTTGTTATAGAGCCGAATAGACTAATACTTTTTTTTAATTCCTATGGTGAGTAATTAAAAAAATTAATTCATTAATTTTCAGGGCATTGGGCATGCCAGGCAAACTTTCTACCAGTGAGCTACACCCCCAGCCCATAGATTGATAACTTTAGGCAGAGATGATACCTTTTTTTCCCAACTGTGGTTAATTTGACTTTTTTTTTTTAAACCATAGGTGATATTTCTAAGTTGCCTACTTGTGAAAGCTGTTGGAAGTAGCATCACAGAGTATCACCTGGCTGTCAAATCTCATTGCCCATGTTTGAAATGCCAAGATGTATAATTGATAGGAACTGACCTTGTTGCTTTAAAACATATCCATGATGATGATTCTCTTGTTTGTCTTCCTCCTTCCTTTTCAGGAGGATGAAACTGATGTCTCTGAAGAGGTCAAGGAAACACGGGTAAGTGACAAGCCAGTGAGGCATATCTCTTTAGGGCTCAATCTTGCTTTGATGCATACGATTTTAATAGAAGAGCAGGACCTATGCAAATTGGAGCTGAGGAGGAGTTTGGAGATAGACATTCCTCTGAGAGGCATGGCAGGTGTTAGATGGTGGTACTTCCTCCTGTGGTGTAACAATGCCCATGGTCTTAAACAGATTTCCAGCTTCTGTGTGCCAGCTGCTAATCTCCAACACCATTACAGGCTCCACCTTTTTCTCTTGAATGTTATTGGATTGTAAAGTACTTTGAAATCTTTGGAAGAAAAATAAAAAGTGGTATTTTTATGGATCTACATTGATAAAGAGGAACATAAGTGTGGAGTATGTAAAACATCAGATAGTCTAAAAGTCATTTATATTTGACTGTGAAATAAGGTTAAGCACCTCACCTCTTCTAAAGCCCTGACCTCATAAAGCCTAGCCTCCATCTGCAGGCCTGTACCCAGCATTCTTAAAAATAATCCAGGTTCTTGTGAGCCACTCCAGTGCCATAGAATACTGGGGGTTTTCTTCTTTTTACAGTTTCACAGGAAGGAAGGAATTTGGTTTTGACTAAATTAATTGAAATACATGTGATACATGTGCTTTCCTGTGAGAAATTACATAAAATGATGGCCTTTTTAATACTCCACAATTTATTGGACTTGTATTCTTAGAATACACTTATCAACCCTTAATAATTAACAATTAACTCATTTTTAACAGAAGAGAGATGAATGAGACATTGTCATCAACTCACCTACATTTTAGCCAAGATCCAAAATAATCAATAGTAGACTTTCAAAAAGAAGTATCTGTAATGACTTACAGTAACACCAGTGAGAATTGCCTACTCTGGTTTGAAGCTGAGGCTACTTCACAAAGATGAGCTGTGTTATGTGGAAATAGCACATAGCTATTCCCTTAAGGCAAGTGTGTGTGTGTGTGTGTGTGTGTGTGTTTGCATGCAAACAACAGCAACTCATAGATTCTTTAAAAATCTTGGATAGGATTTTGCATATAGAGAGAATGAATATAGATAAGTTCCTTTGGGGAATTATGCTTAAGCAGAAAATTTGAGTAATAGATTACAGAGCACTGAAATGCATCATAATCCCTAGAGGATTGTACAGGCCATTTAAATTAATGGATTACAACAAGGAAGGTTTGATGTCACAGAATGTCTTTTGTCAGTGAAAATCTTTGTCTCTACTTTTCAAAATTTCTCAGCCCTGGAAAGTCCTAACCTCGAGTACCAAGGAATGAAAACTATAATGATTTTAATGCAGTGGTTCTCATGGAATTTCATCTTAGGACCATTCACTTAAAATAATAGAAAAAACTTTTTGGTTTGTGACGAAAAGCAGAGACTATTGAGGTTTGCTGTGAAAGTCATTTGTCAGGCTGAAAAATATTCCACTCTTCCAATTGCTTAAGGCATCTACTAGTATTTACCATGTGTCAAGCAGACTTCAGTGTGACTCTTAAGAACAAACAGCCTATTACCTCTAGATTGGTAACTTTGTATGCAGGTAAGGTAAGGTTGGTACAAGCACATTCCAGGTACCATTCTCTAGTCCCACCCACAGTTCTGCAGAAGGAAAGACTGGTGATGAGTTGGTAAAGGGAGAGGCTTCCTTTTTTGAAAAGTCTTCAACTCTAGTTTATTTCAATTAAACTGTTTATCTGATTTTCTCTTCGGAGCGCTTGCTTCTAATGCTAGCAGGTTTGAAACCATTATCCATATGGGCTGCAGAACAACACACCTAATGATGACCCAGTGTAAATTGCTGCAATTCTAGTTCAAGACAGTCACCAGTATGTTATGAATCTTAGACCACTCTCTGCCCTACTTTCATGTTCATCCATCAGGCAGTATCATAGACTCAGCTCTGTAGCAATAAATGAGAGGACATTCTGTGGAAGTGGCCCTGTTAGCTAATAAGCATGAATTTTGCTGAAAAGCCAGGGCAGTTCTTTTATTTCTTGATTTTGATTTAGTAAAACTGTATCTGCTATTAAAGTCACACAAGCTCCCTACTCTCCTCTAACCTTCTCCTTGAGAGTGATGGTATCTATTTTTTTTTTAAATTCACTCTTCCCAAGACTCTGACATCTTTTTCTTTTTTTCTTTTTTGTGGTGTTGAGATTTGAACCCAGGGCTTTGCAAGTGCTAAGCAACAACTCTACCACTGAGGTAGCCCCATAGTTAGCTCATGATATCTTATTTTTTTAACTGAGATATAAATTTACAATCAATAAAATACATACATTTTAAATGTGTCATTTGGTGAGTTTTGACACTTGCATATACTAGTATAAACCACAATCCAAATCAAGATATAAAACTTTTCCCTTACCTTAAAAAGTTTCCTCTTATCATTATGTTAAGTGAAATAAGCCAAAGTCAGAAGGTCAAGTGTCATATGTTTTCTCTCACCTATGAAAGTTAGAGAGGAAAAAGGAAAAGAAAGGTGGGGGGTGATCTACACGAAAAGCAAAAGGAGATCAATAGAGCAGAGAAAGGCGACCAGGAGCTGGGAGGAGGGGAGGAAGAGGAAAAGCACTGGGGAGGGATATTGGTCAAATCATATTGTTATACTTTGTGCATGTACTAATATGTAACAACAAATCCCCCCCCCTTTATGTACAGCTGTAATGCACCAAGAAAAAAAAGATATTTAAAAACAAAGTTTCCTCTTGCCACTTTCTAATCAATTCCCTGTCCTGAGAAGCAACCATTCTTTCTAATTTCTGTCTCTATAAATTAGCATTGTCTGTTCTTTAACTGTGTGTGTCTGTGTTTGTCTATGTGCGTACATATATATGAATGTACTGCTTCTTAAGAGTGAGGATATGGCCAGGCCCAGTGGCACACGCCTGTAATCCCAGTGGCTCAGGAGCCTGAGGCAGGAGGATCAAGAGTTCAAAGTCAGCTTTGGCAACAGCAAGGTGCTAAGCAACTCAGTGAGACCCTGTCTCTAAATAAAATACAAAGTAGGGCTGAGGATGTGGCTCAGTGGTTGAGTGTTGTGAGTTCAATCCCCAGTAAACCCCCCCCCCCAAAAAAAAAGAGTGATGATATGTCAGTGTTATTTACATGTATACACACATATGTATATATACACACATATATCTACATATGTATATGCACACACATATATGAAATCATCCAATAATATTTAATTTTAGGTTAGAAAGGAAAGTTCAATTATTATTATCTCTATTTGTATCTCTAATCAGGGTTAGAGCTAAGATGATTCCAAATATATATTGATTTCCCCCCATCTTCTTAAAGATTTTATAAGATTCTTTAATTTCTCATCCCTATGTCAGTAACAACAGCATGATTAAGAAGCCTTTCTATTATTAAACTAAATCTCTGCTGATATCATTGAAATTCATTTCTCTTTATGTACTTAGAAAAATGTAACCAAAATGTAAACACCAATTATTATTTAGGGCCAGGCATGGCCTGATGTTTGCTATCTGTGATGTGTGTGATAAAGACAGAAGTCACATATTGCTATACTAGTGTCAGTAAAGAGCAAGAAATATGATGAGAAGACTGGGGGCCTACATCCAACATAGTGCATGGTTTTCATCAAAACCCATCCCCAGTGGTAATTCCATCAGCTGGTAAGATAGACAAAGACTATATATTGATATTGTAGCACCTCCTTGACAGATATGTTTATAGCAATTATCTTTCATTATCCACATTAGGTATGGGCCAGTCTCTGTAAATCTTAAGATATCCTTTGTCTTTCTAAGTGAAGAGGAAACTGAATCTAATTTTAATTTGAGAAGAGGTTATTTCAGTCATATCTAAAAATGCTTTTATATTCAAGAATGTATTTACTATTTACTGTATAGTGGTTTCCCTACTCCATGGGAGATACTTTCCCTCACCCTAAGGAGATGGCTGAAACCTCAGGTAGTACTGAACCCTACATGTGCTATACTTTTTCATATTCATACATACCTATGATGAAGTTTTATTTATGTTAAACATAGTAAGAGAGTAACAACAAGAACTAATAATAAAATAGAACAGTTACAACTAAAATTAAATTACCACTATCTCTACTCCTGTGCTTTGGCATCATTATTAAGTAAAATAAGAGTTACTTGGACACCAGTACTATGTGATAGCAGTGTCTTAACAGTTGGTCAGAAGGTTACTAAAATGACTAACAAGCAGTAGTATACACAACATGGATACCCTGGACAGAGGTATAATTCATGTCTCTGGCAGGGCAGGGTACCGGATAGCATGAGATTTCATCATACTACTCCAGACAATACAATTTTAAAACTATGAGCTATTAACTTCTGGAATTTGCATTTAATATTTTCAGACAGTGGCTGACTGTGAGTAACTTAAACCAAAGCAAAACCATAGATAAGGGTTTTGCATAGCAGGTGCTCTGGAGGGAATGATCATAGGCACATCAGGGAAGGTGGTGACCATTTCAGTTCTCTCCACCTTTTATTTTTGTGTCTTTGGACTGACTTTTGCTTTACTATGAGTTTTATCTACTGAATTCTGGTTTTCCCCCATTTACTCCTCTGCAGTAGTCTATTTTTCAATCTGATCCTGTTGTGTAATTGAATTCATCACTAGAGGGCACAAGTGATCAACAGAAAAGATGTTGGTGAGCAAGCAGAATGGTGCCCTGAAGAAGCTGAACCTGAGCAAATTGCTCCTGTTTTAAAAGAATTGCTGAAGAACCTAGTTCAGTGTAGTAAAGGTATTTGCCACCCCACTTTTGGTCTCATAGAATTGAAAGGGAATTTATAGATAACTTGATTTAGGAGCTTCATTTCATAGTTGAGAAAACAGAGACCAGAGAAGTTAATAACTTGGGGATGGGAAACCTGTGCAAGGAAAAGCATCCTGTATCCTGCATCAGGGAACGTTTTCATTTGATGGTAATATGCAGACCTGGAATTAGGGCTTATGTCCTTTTCCACAC